CATGAAAACTATAACAAGCACAAAATGGTTATGAGGTCAGTCCCAGGGACCAAACCCGTGCCAAAAGAGTTAAGGGTTGTAAGGAGAGAAAGTTTTTAGTTGGAATGTCTTACAGACCATCAGATAAAACTGATGAAACTAATGAGAAACCTCACAGTGAGATGAAGAATTCAACTGTTAATGAAGTTATAATTGTGGGAGATATTAATTTCAGGCTTATACATTGGGAAAGTTTGTTCAGCTTTGTTTTTTATTTTTATTTGAATGGGGGGTTATGGTTTGAGGGTTTTAGGTTTGATTACTATGGCCACCAAATTTGAAAGTTACTAAGACTAATTGTTACTGTCACTAATTTTGAACTACAAACTAAAGAAAAGACAACTGTGCACCTACCTCAAACCTTTTTTTTTCTTTGGTTGTACGTACCATCATTTATTTAATTAATCAATTAATTAAATGTAATTAATTATTAGGGCTATCAATTAATTGATTAGTAAATATTATTAATTGCCCAGCACTATGTTTTTATGACTAGACATTAAGTAAGTTTTAGAGAGTACAGTATCGACAGCAAAACATTCCAGTAATTCAAATCCTTATTTATTAGATATTAATGTTTATCGTATTCAAGTAACATAATTTAGAATTTGATGAAAACAGAGTAAATTTATTAGATATAAATTGATTTGACCAAGAATATAGTAAGCAGAAATATTGTTACTTAGCTTGACCAGACACCATTTTGAAAGGCCAGATCTTAGGTCACCAATAAATCTTTGTCTCTTCATGTTGTATTTTTTACAATTTATATCCACAAGTTGTGACTACTCCAATTGGAAAATTCAATTTCTAAAGAAATATATTAATGAAAATCAGTTAAGCTGAAACTGACTGGATATATAAAATGGAAATTTCTGATCAGAGAAAGAAAAAAAAGGAAGTATTGTTAATGTTTTTCAAAAATCTGTCTTACAACAAAAGTTCTGGAAATTTCATGACATAAAAAATAAGTAACATTATAAAAACTTTTTTAATCCAAAACTAGATACTATTTACTCAAGTTTCATGCAGTTTAAGTATTTACGTATATCCACTGTGAGAAGGTAAAAATCATGGAATATCAGTGAAACCTCCCTTCCAGGTTTGGAAAGGGTTAATTTCTTTGAATGTTACATGTAAGAGGATACTTGCAGGGGCATAGGCAGCACTACAGAGTGTGTGGGGAGTTTTTCCAAAACATTTGGACCTCTTGTTTTATACAAATAATTCAAGTGTTTATTAACTAAATAAAAAAGATAGTGAACCTTATAGAGTTTTTAGTGTGGCTTTTACAGGTGAAGGAGACTTCTAATTCTCCAAAAGAAGGGGAAATTAAATCTTCAAAGTGTTACTGAACTTTTACTTGCAATTTAGGTAATTGAATTTTATTTAAATTTTTATGTTGTACCATGTAACATTTTAATTATATTATATACACCCAAGGATTTTTAATTTTAGGATCTAGCTCCAGTGAAGATGAGATACCATCTTTCAAGCAACCAATAAAGAAACGCCCCCACGAGTTAACAGCATACCACTTCTCTAGATCAGGCTAGTATGCATTTACATTTACGTATAATTTATTAGAACATGTAGTTCCAAAACATCTTACCTCCCACTTATAGCTATTACTTGACTGCCGGGGTTTCTTCCTTTGCCCATCTAAGCGTTGGTCTGATTTTTTTCTCACTTGCTCCAGTTTTTTGTACCCCACTCAATTGCCCTCTATCCTGGTACTGTATATAAGCACCTCATTCAGGTAATATTATAATTCTTTTTAACAAAGCATTTCGGAACAGGTTTCTCTAAAAAGGTACTACAACTCTTAAAGTCCTTGGGTGCAACATACGTTCAGTCCAGGAGTGTTTCTCCTGGGGATTCTGAGGCTGCTTTTGCCAACAATCCAGGACATTCTGGAGAGAACTTAGACACGCTTTTTCTGGTGCCTTCACTTACTAGCTTGCCTTCTCACAAGGTCAATTTGGATCAGCCAGTTCCAGCTCCTTTTTTCAGTTGGGAATGTGAGGTTCTGGGGTTTTCCCCAGTTGCTTTTGAGTCTACATCTTCCTTGATGGTGGAAAGGTCTGAGGGTGAATATTTAGTTTTCCTCCTTCACCTGATATTGCTGTTCATGAGGGGAGGTATACCGCTTAGTTACGTGAAGGGATAGCTATGCCTTGTCCACCACATTTGTTGGAACAACATGCTTAGGCTTACCACTGCCAGGAGAATGCATATTTAGATTCCCAAAAACTAGATCCACGTTTGGAAATGTGGGGTTCCAGAATGGAACCTGTGATAAACTTGAACAGATCACAATATTCTAGGATTTGTCTGACCCTCACTACAAGTCTGAAATATATAACATCCCACCTCAAATTTTGTCTGAAGCCTATCAATGATCACCACATCAGTTTGATGATAATTTGGGACCTTTACTGACATCTACCTTGGTATGATTGTTGGCTTCTGCTCTTTCTTTGTCTTTTTGGCTGGTATGTTGTTGGGACTTATTAGGTAGAGATGCTTTGTTGTAGGGTGTTCTTCTACTGGCTGCTGCCCTCCGTGATTATGCAAGACCCCCTTTCTTCATCTCTTTGATGTTTATGGGCATTGGAATCACAGATTGATATTGGCTATTTGCATTCTTCATTGTCGTAGTTGGCCTCTCAACTTTTTTTGGCTCCTCCAGGGAGTCAAGGCTCTACTGTTCGTTATGTGTTCCAACCCCCAGTTCTAGCCCCTCGATCCATTGGTACCCAAAATAGATTCTGTTCTTATTAAAGAGGTTCCTCTACTCGGGCAGACCATCACCAGCGGCATCAGTAACTACATTATGCCAGTGAGGTTTGTGGGGACGGGGTTACATTTTCTAAACATATAGAATTCCTTTGCCACAGATCCATGGATACTCCAGGTTCTTGTGTCAGGGTTGGTCATTCAGTTCACATCTCTACCACCATTATCCCTCCGACCTGTAGTGTTTTCACCACCAACAGATTCTCAGATTGTAGACCTTTGTTCCAGGGCTATCAGAGAGTTGTGGTCAAGGGGGAAGTAGAGAGAGTCGACCCAGTTCTTCCAGGATTTTATTCTCATCTACTTGTTGTGTCCAAGAATATGGGAGATTGGCATCTGATCATTGATTTTTCTCATCTCAACTAATTTTTGGATCCTCCCAGGTTCACAATGGAGTCATTCCTCACCCTACATTGGCATTTTTCACTGGGAGTGTGGATGACCAGGTTTGATATTGCCAATGCCTGTCTCCACATTCCCAGAGTGGAATCTTCTCAATGCTGTCTACGTTTCGTGCACAAGGATCAGGTACTGCAGTTCAGGGCTCTGCCCTTTGGACTAGCATCTACACCATATGTGTTCTGCAGAATAGTACAAGCTTTTTCTCACCATTTTCATTCTTTAGGCCTGTGCATGCACCATTATATGGATGACTGGTTACTCCTGGCACCATCTGGTCAGTTGCCGGAACATCACATCAAGATTCTCCTTTCAAAAGCCACCAAGGCAGGCTTTATTATCTGAGTTGAGAAATGTATTCTCATGCCAACTCAATACATCATCCATCTGGGTATTTTTTCAATAAGTATTTAAGTCAGGCATAGCCAACTCCCATCCAGCTCCATGCTTTGGAACAGGCAGTCATATTGTTACTCACGTCTTTTTCTCCCACTGTACAGATTGTTCTTTCTCTTTTGGGAATGTAAGCATCCCTCAAATCTTTAATTCCTTTGAGATGGGCACACATGAGATTGCTTTGGTGTTTGCTACTAGACCAATGGATCATGAATAGCAATCCACTGGATCACCCAGTTTCCTTATTTAGGATCAACATCTTAGGTCTCAAATGGTGGTTAGATCAGAACAATACTACAATAGGTGTCCCTCTACCACCCCCTTGTCCCGAAATCCATCTTTTCACAGATGCCTCCCTACAGGAATAGGGTGCGTATATCAACAGTCAGGAATTTCATGGCTTATGGATGGACGACGAATCTTCCTTCCACATAAGTATTTTAGAGCTTCTTTCTGTCCAGAGGGCAAGTTCTCGAGCTCTAGAAATGTTAAAGGGAAAAATCTACATGCTTCACTTTGACAATTCCATGGCGGTATCTTACATTTCCCGGTAAGGGGGCACTCGATCACAGGGTCTTTGTTTTTAAACATTGGATCTTCTTTTTTGGACTTACTCCCATCATATCAGCTTACTAGCTTACCATGATCCAGGGGTGATGAATTTGATAGCAGATCATTTGTCTCAACCCAACTGGATTCTTCTGACTGAATGGTTGCTACATTGCAAGGTTTTATGGTGGATTTGCTCTCTGTTCAGAACACTGATGATTGATGCATTCACCACTCATTGGAACTCGCAACTACAGGCATTTTGGTCACTGGTACCTCATCCTCAGTCATTGGCAGTAGATGCATTCAGTCAGGACTAGATGGGATTGCATGACTATGTCTTCCCACCAATTCGCCTGTTACCAAGAGTTTTGGCTTTGGTTTGATCCATCTTTTGTTGGGCGTTGTTGGTAGCCCTGGATTGGCTGGCTCAACCATGGTTTCCTCTTCTCCAGTATCTTCAAGAATGCCCACCTCTGCCACTTCCTCTTTGGCTATCTCTGTTGAGGCAACCACAATTTGACACACCCAGATATTCAGAAGCTCAAGCTTCATGCATGGAAGTTATGCAGTCCTTAACACGGCATCAGGGTTTAACTTCTAAAGTTGACATGTATTTGTCTCAATCTCTTTATAGACTCACAGTGGCCATTTATGAAAGGAAATGGCACACTTATTGACAATGGTGACTCATGAGGAAATTGAACCCACTTCACCCAAATGTGCCAGCCACAGCTCGTTTTTTGACCTGGCTTTTTGAAAAGGGTTTAGCACCATCTATAATCAGCTTATATAAGAGAGCTTTATCGACTACATTTCAATACTAAAAACTCTAAAATTATTTGAGTCCCCAGTGCTATCCGGCTTTCTTAGTCTTTTCGAGTCCTTCATCCCAAAAGGCCTTTTCAATTACCTACCTGGGATATTAAAGTGGTATTACATCCATTCGAGCCATAAACCTCGTGCACCATGTATCACTTTTCCCTTAAAGTTTATTTTTTGTTGTTGCTGGCCTGTGGACATCATTAGTTGGAGCTGTTTGCACTGCATGTGCACAGGACTCTTTGTTCCCGAGTACCTTGACAAGGAAGGTTCAAAAATTGATCCATGTTGCTTATTCTGGGCTCTATTTGGAGGCGAGGAAACTTCTGCGAGTCGTGTCTCATCAGATTCATCACATTTCTTTAGTTGTCCGATTGAATTACCCTCTGGAGGACATTGTGTGGGCTGGCATGTGGACTTCTCCCAATACTTTTATCTCACATTATTTGCACAATCTGGCAGTTTCGTCATCTTAGGGTTTTGACTACCCCTATGGCAATTTTGACCACATCAGCTAGATTATAAAGAGAAATATTTTTTTACTGCTATTGTCTCTTTTCTTTACAGGGATCCTTACCTCTCTTTTTTTCACTGGATCCCACTCCATGGCAAATATTGCCCAGGCAGGTGTGCTTTTATCAAACCAATTCCACACTAGCAACCACTAATTCCATATACTTTATACAGGTTGCAACAGGCTCTGTAGACATGAGGTGTTTTGGAAGATAACCTAGAAGCTGACCGGGTGGTATTACTGTACTGTGCTGGACTGCCACTCATGGACTATCATGAGTTTAGCATAAGGGGATCCTGTGCATCCCTACCAATCTTTGGATTGAATAAATTGGGGTCAGTTTGCTTTTGAAAATTTAGGGAACTTGGTTCACCAATTGCACTGTTTCCAGAGCACTGTTTGTTAGGGCTCCTAACACACATTACCCCTAGGGAGTCGTTACCCACCCAGTTTACAGTCACTGGGGTGGTGGACAGAGTCTTTTTCCTATGGAGTGTTAGAGTGAATTCCTTCATTCTTGGAGAAGTTGGGGTTGCTCTCCTCTGGGTCTCTGGATATTTTTTCCCCTGATGTTGGTTGGAGAGGCACCAGCCTACATGGCATCCTACTCGTAATATTGGTTTGGATTTGACACTCGGCTATCCGGGTTGGGGTGTGCATGACCCTTCTTTTTGATCAATATTTGTTCAGTACATTTTTCATGGAAGAGGACCCACTGTCTCCTCATAATACAATATGGAGAGTGGCCCCATCCTGGGTTTGTCGTTTGTTGAGCTCAGTTGTTCCATGTCCTACCCATAATTCCGAGGGCAAGTGGGATGTATCTTACTCACACACGGTTGGGGAGTGAGGATGAGTGTTCCTAATTCCAGCCTGAATGAGTTCTGTTTCCTTTGGTTGAGTAAAGCATATGCAATCCTGTCATTCC